GGGTAGGATGTCTAGTGCCTGTACCGACAGACAATAACTAACCCATGACACAACCCTAACACACTATTAGCTTAGTCAGCCCGCCCTCTCTTACCTCCTCCTAAACTTCTTCTATTTCCGAACTATAACTTCCTTCCCCCACCTCTAATCTTCTTTCACCCCTCCTTTCTCTACAAATAAAAAAACACTACCACCTCTATAACCAATCGTTATTATCACCATAACCTTCACTACCATCACAATTACCCGTATTACCACCATCACCAGAAAACCATACCTCAGCCAATATCACTATCACCACCATTACTACCACCATCACCACTACCGTATCTCAGCCATCATTACTGCCACCCCTATCATCACCACTGACTGATCCACTATAATAATTACCGTCCTCATTAACATCTTAATTTTCAACTCATTTCCATCATTCAACAACACACTAAGGAGAGAGAGAGAGAGAGAGAGAGAGAGAGAGAGAGAGAGAGAGAGAGAGAGAGAGAGAGAGAGAGAGAGAGAGAGAGAGAGAGAGAGAGAGAGAGAGAGAGAGAGAGAGAGAGAGAGAGAGAGAGAGAGAGAGAGAGAGAGAGAGAGAGAGAGAGAGAGAGAGAGAGAGAGAGAGAGAGAGAGAGAGAGAGAGAGAGAGAGAGAGAGAGAGAGAGAGAGAGAGAGAGAGAGAGAGAGAGAGAGAGAGAGAGAGAGAGAGAGAGAGAGAGAGAGAGAGAGAGAGAGAGAGAGAGAGAGAGAGAGAGAGAGAGAGAGAGAGAGAGAGAGAGAGAGAGAGAGAGAGAGAGAGAGAGAGAGAGAGAGAGAGAGAGAGAGAGAGAGAGAGAGAGAGAGAGAGAGAGGGAGAGAGAGAGAGAGAGAGAGAGAGAGAGAGAGAGAGAGAGAGAGAGAGAGAGAGAGAGAGAGAGAGAGAGAGAGAGAGAGAGAGAGAGAGAGAGAGAGAGAGAGAGAGAGAGAGAGAGAGAGAGAGAGAGAGAGAGAGAGAGAGAGAGAGAGAGAGGAGAGAGAGAGAGAGAGAGAGAGAGAGAGAGAGAGAGAGAGAGAGAGAGAGAGAGCGAGAGAGAGAGCGAGAGAGAGAGCGAGAGAGAGAGCGAGAGCGAGAGCGAGAGCGAGAGCGAGAGAGAATTATATTGTATTTTTTTTATTTAAATATGGTTATAGATACAATAATGCTTAGTACTCTAATAAAATTCCTGTTCACAGCTCCCCTTACGAAAGTGTGGAGGTACATTAATAGTTACATAATATCCTGTTTACTTTGGTGATGTTAAACTGAACAACATGCCGTACCTGCGCACACACACACACTCGTATATTAACCCGAGGACTGAGGTATGGAAGGATGGGTCGTCACGGAGGGGGTGTGAGTTTGTGTGTGTATCTGGAGGAAAGGAGGAGTATGAAAATAGAGAGAAAGGGGAAAGAGGGCAGGGAGAGAGGAAAACATAGGAGAACAAAGAGGAGAAGGAGGATGGGTGAAGGTAGTGAAGGAAGGATCATCCACAGCCCCCTGGAGTCTCCTAGCAACTGATCCCTACACCGCACCTCCCACCACACACACTAAATGTGCTGACCTTTCATAATCTAAGTCCCTTACCACAAACAAGATGTACTGAAGCAGTCTCAGCATACTGTTACGGTATTATAAGGTACAATGAGCATCACACCACGGCTGAGCTAGTCATAGTCCTGTCATGCCTTCCAGTGCACTCAAACCTGCTCTGTGAAAACCAGTTTGGTGGATGAAGCGAGCCATGTCATTATATATAGGCTATCATCTTTCTATGAGAGCTAAAACTGTGGGAAGCATCCACCTGACCGCTCTCTCCCCGATAAGTACTAGAACTAGTTTTATATTTCTTTTCCTTAAATGGTGAAGTGGACAGTGAAATTGCCTTAGTGTTTGTTAATGTGTTTTGAACCAAGATATCTAAAAAATGTACCAATTTCAATGATACTTGGAAGATGGGTCAGAAGTTGCCTTGGTAAATGAAAAATTATTTAAGTTTGGATAAAGGATGTCAAAAGCAAAATTTAAAGGAGATAATAATTCAGCACATACCGGTATATGATACAAGTTGTGCCAATGACATTCATATGACGCCAGGGTGAGGTTTTCTGCTCTATGTACAATTTTCTATTTCCTTTTTAATTTATATTTTTATTTATTTATTTTTTTTTTTGGGTGGGGGGGATTCTGCAACCCTGCTAATCTGGCTTTTGAACTTTGCACCATTTATAATAGGTAAAAACAGACAATTTTCAAGACATACAATACAGTACTTTTTGTAAAGGTTTACCGGTACTTAATAGTGAGAAACTGTCAGCATCCAGAAATATTGTGTGTGATGATGAGGGATAAGATGATGTACGAGTATCTGTGCACAGCCTTACCATACTATAACACTACTGATACTTCTTACTGTAACAGAGCCTTGTGCTGGTTTCACAGGAGTGGTCAACAGGGAAGATGGACTCGGATAACTACCTGAGCACTCACCCTCAATATAAGCAAACACTTGCCACTTTCATCACAACCCACCACTGTCTCGCTCCCAATATTATCCTTCACTCAAGCCTTCCTTACCTGCATCCCCAAACATTCATATTTATACAAGGCTTTAACACCTTCTTGGAATCATGACTCAGCATTCTAAATACAACAGTCCATCAATGTGTGGGGATCACCTTATTCACATCTAGACCTACTAATGTATAGTATAGTACAGTATATACTGTACAAACGTTAGGTATATTTCATCACTTGGATGCCTCTACTGATAAGTGAAAAATTCATCACCAAACAGTATGTTTTTCACTGATAACACATACTACAGTACACTAGCTGCATCATACTTTTGCCATACTACCATACAGTACTTGGTAACATTTGCCAAGAGGAACTACATTAAGTGTGTACTACTGCATAATCATTACTGTCCCACTTGATGTTTGTCTTTTATGGTAAATGAGCTTCAGAGGCCTCACAGAAATGATGTACAGTATACAGTATTCATATCCAAATGAAAAGTAAATTAATATAGTGGCTTTAAGGATAGTCTCTTAACCATAGGCATGACTTAGTAATATTTTAATTATCACCCATGACTGAATATTTTAATTAATGGTTGATAATGTACAGCAATTCAGTTTCAACACTTATGCCCCATTATCTCAAACTCACGATGTTGGCAGACCTATACAGGTATATACAGTATGTACCGGTACATGCACAGTATATATTTTTTTTAAGGGGCACAGGTCACTGACCCACATTGGGGCCTGGAGGGGTGAAAAAACAAGAACAAAACATAAATACAGAAATTAAAAAAATATAAAAGATCAAAAGTGAGAAATGATATACAGTACAGTATATTGTATGTTGTGTTGTCAAAGTAAGAGAAACAATTGAGATCCTGCTATTGTGTGTAAATAAGGCAGAAAGTCAGTCAGATGAACAACCTGGGATTTGGTCACAATTTTTGTGATGCCATATGGCAGCAGGGTCTACCATTAGACAATACATTATGTTTCCAACATCTTTCCAGGCAGTAGTACCTCCTTGTTTGATAGGTGCCTACTACCTATGGCCTACAACCCTACCATTTCCTAATTTTGTATCCTACAGGTGCTCCTGCAATTTCTTTCTTTCGTATCAGTTCTTGAACATTACCAGACACTACACTTTGCAGACATAATCACTGTGAAACTCATTTTACATGCCAAGATTCATATCCAAAATTCATAATAGATCCAATTTTGCCTTTAAGCAATGCTATACAGTACAATACAGTGTGGTATTTTTAAGCACACAAGTGAGCCTTTAATATATGTTTGCCAAAGGTAATGTAAATTGAGCTGGTACAGATACAGTTTAACAGCAGTAAGCAGTAAAAACAACAGTGGGTAGGACGATAAAGTACCACCATTTAGTGTTAAGAAGGCAGAAAAAACTGACATGACAGTGACCAAACAAGTCATTCATCAAATATTTTACCTGGCCTCCTGACCTGACCACCATGACCTACTTTCCATTTCTGTTTACCATCACCTCTTTAATGTACAAACTATTAATAAACATGCCTTTAAATAAGTGGACAAATTCCCACAATTTGTTGATGTTAATGGTGTGGTTCCACATGAAAAGAGTGACTAGGGGGCAGAGTTACAACTTACACCCATGTTTGAAATTATGACATTGAGAAAAATAATACACAGTATGCATATAAGTTCTCCTTGCACTTATTCTTACTATTGTAATACGTGTGTTTGTTACTGTATTGTATTCCCCTTCCACAACACAACCCTAAATTTGGTATACCCATTGCATAACAGATGCCAGCTCCTCCCCAAAATAGTTAGCTGTCATCAGCTCCACTGAAAGAAATACTTTGCTATTTCCTGGAAGTTCATTCTCACTCACATGCTACTACATTCTTCTTCCCTTCCTCAGTCTACTCCCCTCCCCCTCCAAACAACCTTCTCTGAATTATGTTACAATTCCCTTTTTATTTTATTATTTCAATACGTCCATAACACACCCTGATCCTCTCTCTTCTCAACACTTTCACCACTGGACATTTCCTTCTTATTTCTGTCTTTTAATGTCTGTAAAAGAGTGTTGGCGACAGGGACGGAGTATTTGAATTCGGTATAGTATAATACCCTGTATTCGAATGCATTCAAATACAGCATTTCAGGGTACTGTATTCATATTAAAAAACATTACTATCAATGCAGAAATCAGAAGTTAATGAAGGGATGACACTCAGATGAAAACATGACAACCAGTAATATAGATGCATGAATTATTGTAAATTGTCATTTGCCTGAAACACACACAGACACACACACAAACAAGTTCAATAAAAAGAGGACACAATGCTTCTATAATGGTCCAAAAACTTTATTGTTTTGATAATACTGTAGAGTATTAGGGAAGAAAGGCCAATCCACATTATATGTGGAAAAATAATACTGAATATTGTACTTACACTTTCCGCTCTGTGGGGGATGAGGTAACAAGCTCATAAATCTGAGCTCCTACTGACTGAGTTGTGACTATGAAGAAGGCGCAATTGTCTGTAGGGACAAGAAAAACTAAGGCTTAGCAAGGTTTAGTTCACAGGACATTAATAAATTATTTACAATATAGGTTCTTGTATAAAAAACTTACCTGGTAATAACATGCCTTATTGGAACTAACAAACTCTTAATGACCATTAAAATACTGCACATTATACCAATTTCCTAAATAATAAACTGATGAAAACATACAAACACACAATGTACATTCTACACTGTCAGATGCATACACAAGATAACCAGTAGCCTATTTAGTTTAATTTACTCTTCAGCATTCTTCATAACCTTCTCTTATCCCATCTGACCTGAATTGAGAGGAAACAAGAGACTATCTTCTACAGAATGGCCCCATGACATTTGGTATACTGTCTCCTTGTTGCTCCACAGTCTATCCTACAAAAAACCCTGAACACTATGCTTTCTAGTCACTATACCTACTACCATTTCCTGGACATCCATCCCTTTTGTACTATTCCCTTCCCAATCTTCTCAACCTTCCATTTCTCTTTTGCCGTCCATATCTGAATTACACACTCTTTTAGCTATCTTTCAATTCCCCAACTCTTCATATGTTTATATCACATAAAAGCAAACCCTCGTTCACTCTCACGGTTCTTTCATCCATCCAGTTCCATATTCTTTTCCATCCTATTCACTTCATATACTGCTCTAAGGCACATAAATTCAGTTAATAAAAAATGTTGGATCATCAACTTCAATACAATGTACATTTCCACCTTTTCCTCCTTTGACATAATTCTCTCACTCTCCACACATTTCTCTATGCACTTACTAATTTTTTCCCCTTAGTTACTCTTTGATTCAACTCATTCACTCACTGTTCCATTTACTAACACATCTACTACAAGTATAAAGCCCCTCAACTCTTTCACTGTCTCCCTTCTCAACTTATTTTTATCATTTTAATTTTGATTACTTTCACTTCTACAATGCACTTGTCTAAAGGGAATTACAGTACTTAATATCTGCAACTTCTGAATCATCCACCAAAGCAGAGCTGTATTCACTACCATAATGTACAGTACAGTATTAACCTGCGATCAAAAATGAATCAACTAGACTATGAACTAAAATCTAATTATGGGATTCCCAGAAATACTTTGCAGAGAAATAGAGCAATACTAGCCTATAACAACATGTTCTTTCTCATTTATATATTTTACAGTAATGTTTGCTACTTAATCCTGTACAGTATAATCTATGAGCATGTTCAATTTGTTCAACTTGATGCATCATTTCCATAAGTTTTGAATACAGCCTTGTTTTTGTTTTTCTTAATACCGTATATACTCATGTGTAGTTCGAGTTTTTAAGACCAAATTTTTAGGCAAAAAATTGGGGGTTGACCTCTACATGCGTAATAGTTTTGTTAGGTTGAACCCGTGCATGATGGGAAGGGCGAGGAGCAACTTTTAGCTTCAGACATGAAAAATATTTACTATTTACTGCCAGTAAACAATGGAAACGTAAAATATGGACCAATAAGTAATGAAAAGTTGTGCAGTTCCTTCAGCAGATGAAGCTCACCAACTTACAATAGGCTAAATTACTTTACAACGTACTTTCAGTAGTCTATGTTGAAGTTCTTAGCACAGGCTAACTTATCATATCATATACGGTATCACAGTTCTCATTGAACTACAAAAAATACCGGTAATAAAAACCTTTTTGATATTTCACATTTAATATAATACCCGGTAATCCACTTCAAACTTCCTATTGTTTACAACGATGCATGACGCACCACCAGCTGTTGCGTATCAGCTAGACGGTACACGTGTTTTTCGAATCATTTTCAGTAAAAAAAAACTCTTACATCACATGTATATTTCACCTGAACTGTGCCTGAATGAATATATTCTCGGAAATAAATAGTAGTTTTGCTGAAACGTGATGTATTTTAATGTAAAATAGGATAAAATACATGACGAAAACAAAAGATTTTACCTAACCTTCCGATGTTCAAGAGAAGTTACTCGTTTTTTAATAGTTTTTGGTTAAAATACTGTTATATTACAATGGTATTCTATTCATACTGTGCTTGATATAATGCATTCACGGAAATGTAATATTTTTGCTGAAATGACGTACGTATTACAGTGGAAAGTGGGATAAAATCGTGAGGAAAACAATGACTTTTGCTTTCTTTCGTTCAAAAGATGTTACCGTAATCGTTTTTTGAATGGTTTTCAGTTAAAAAACTGTTGTATTACAATAATATTCCCTCCTAATTGACTTGAATAAATACTACGATACCATATTTCTGAATATTTTCATTAAAATCCATCAAAATCATTTTCCTTGTCATCGTCTTCAGCACCAAACAGCTCCTCCCAATCTTCTCCTTGAACAGGGCTGAGAGTGCGATGTTTTTTTTGCGTGTTTTCAGTTAAAAAACTGTTACATCACATGTATATTTTACCTAAACTGTGCCTGAATGAATATATTCTCGGAAATAAATAGTAGTTTTGCTGAAACGTGATGTATTTTAATGTAAAATAGGATAAAATACATGACAAAAACAAAAGATTTTACCTTACCTTCCGATGTTCAAGAGAAGTTACTCGGTTTTTTAATAGTATTTGGTTAAAATATTGTTATATTACAATGGTATTCTATTCATGCTGTGCTTGATATAATACATTCACGGAAATGTAATATTTTTGCTGAAATGACGTACGTATTACAGTGGAAAGTGGGATAAAATCGTGAGGAAAACAATGACTTTTGCTTTCTTTCGTTCAAAAGATGTTACCGTAATCGTTTTTTGAATGGTTTTCAGTTAAAAAACTGTTGTATTACAATAATATTCCCTCCTAATTGACTTGAATAAATACTTGAATGGAAATATACAATATTTTTGTTGAAACTACCCGCGTTTCAGTGTAAAGTGTCGTAATAATAAATGATAAACAATTTGCCTTCAGGCACGGCGAGCCTCAGTTTATAGGACGTAGAGCGTTTTTACTGAAGGTTTTGTTGTTCCATTACCCTCAAAAACTTGGTCGACCTATAAACGAGGAATATCATAAATTAACAATTTCTTGGTCAAAAAATCAGGGTCGACCTATAAACGAGGGGGGGTTATAGATGAGTATATACGGTATATGTTATAAGTTAGTAGACTCTTAAAGCAGTTCAATACTATTACAGTATAGTATTTCTAATCCTAAGACAATAAGACCGTCTATCTTCAATGACCATCTCATTATCTAAGGCAGTATACATTAACAGTAGTAAACAACTAACCTGTGGCTACTGCCCTATAAAGCATGGAGGGTCCATACTTTATAATGGGTGAGTGAGTTAGTTTGTTATCATCTTTGCCAAGGGACTTGATGATGGAGTGATTCTTGAGGATGTATTTATCATCAGCTTTTTGGAGAAGGACAATAAATTCATCCAGAAGCAAAACCAGGAGATCAATATTTTTCTGGCCTTTTGCAATTCTCCAGGTTAAGAGACCCTCATATATTAACTTGTGTTTGGTCAGGTCCAGGTTCTGTTGAAAGATAAGAGAAACTGGTAAAAATAGGATGCCACCATATGACAACTAAACAGAGTCATTATAAGTTCACTACTAAGACTCCTATTAAGAAAACAACTCTAGATGAAGTACAAAAGCTTTGGTGATAAATATAATATAAGTTATCTTGAAATATTGATAATAGGCAACTACATTTTTCTTTCTGTATACATATTTTTTTTTGCAACACATCTTTCCTTAACTTATCAAACACATTTTCTGTAACAAGAACTAATAAACACCACACAAACTAAAAATCCTCAAAGCCAATCTAACAATTTCTAGGACACTTTTCCCCTTACACCTACTGGGCACTTTTCCTCTTACTCCTACTGGGCACTTTTCCCCTTACTCCTACTGGGCACTTTTCCTCTTACTCCTACTGGGCACTTTTCCCCTTACTCCTACTGGGCACTTTTCCTCTTACTCCTACTGGGCACTTTTCCTCTTACTCCTACTGTTTTCCTCTTCTCCTACTGGGCCTGCCTTGCTCTACTGGGCACTTTTCCTCTTACTCCTACTGGGCACTTTTCCCCTTACTCCTACTGGGCACTTTTCCTCTTACTCCTACTGGGCACTTTTCCCCTTACTCCTACTGGGCACTTTTCCTCTTACTCCTACTGGGCACTTTTCCCCTTACTCCTACTCTCTCTTTCATCTTTTGTATTAGTCAATGAAGTAAGCTTAATGCCAGAGGAATATAACTACCATATCTACATTATTAATTTTATAATTTCTACCTATATAAAAGTTTGCTAATATTCACTTAAAATCAGAGCTAAATTAATGTACTATAATGCATCTTTAAGACTTGAATTCCTGCTCGTGATAACTATGACTAATTTGTCTCAGGAAGACATAAGTTTATCATAATATGTCTGAGAGAGATGTAGACACCAAATAATAGCTGCAATGTTTACACTTATGGTATGCACAAATGTTTTACTCAAGATATACAAATATTTCCACAGCTTATAATAATGTGAAGAGGACCCTGGTGTGTAGATTTAATAGACCATAAGACACATTCAGCATCCATTACATCATACTTCCAACAAATAGAGGTAATGGATGTATTTCTTACAGTTGATGGCTTTGAAATCAGTCCGCAGTTACATTACACAGAGGTTATTAGAACAAAGTTGATGATACTATGGTATGCTTATAAAGTGCCATACAACTCTAATTAAGAGTCAGCACAAAAATTGCAATGAACAGTGAAACAAGATGGAATAAAGTTTAGATTGGGATTCACTGTATTCTATTTGGGGAAGATCTTGGATCAAACTATCTTCTGTAATGTGATGCAGCTTATTAAATAAAGATAACACAGACATAATGACATATTACAAAAGGTTATCTGAATTTAGTCTTACTCACCCCTTTTAGTTCATCAGAGGGGCCATGCTTGTTCTTTGCTAATGATGACTGGTCGAGCTTCCGTTGTATTTCACTTAGTCTCTGACTGTTTTCGGCTTCTTGTACTGCAGTATTGACAAATGCTAAAATTTCTCGCGCTCTCTCTAGTGCTCGAGATATTTGCTCAAACTCTTCTGCTTGTGAGTTGCTGTCAGTATAGGCTAGTAAGGACTCCATGAACAAGGGGTACTGTAATATAAAAGAAAAGATTGAATAAATTAACCATCAAAAAGTCTTTCCTTATATAATACTGTACTAGAGGGCCACATACTTATGGCATCCTATTTTAACTTGTATAATAAAAACACATCATTTCAGGCATGAATGAGCTTGTATGTAAAACACTTCACATTATTACATGAGGCCCAAACCTGGTAAACCCACTCCCTCTTCTAAAATTACAGTATAATTAAAAAATAAATAAATACTGTATTGTACAAGACTAAGAAAAAGAAACACTATCTCATACACACATTCATATTTATTGTAATTTTCATGATCAATATAAAGTGACCAATGCCAACATAAAGTAACCTTATCTAACACAATCCAGCTTAACATACCAAAAGTAAGCCAAGCTAACTAACCACAGGTTGAAAGTATATTGGTTGCTTTTTCATAAACTTTTCGAGGCTCAGTGGCCAATGTTCTGCAGCCCAGTACTGGTTGGGAGCCCCTGCCTTAGAGTACCACAATGATCATTACAGAACCAAGGTTTATCACACTGCTTCCAGTAAGTAGCAAATTTATTAGAACTCAAATACTGAATTCAGAGTTTGTGAAATCTTAGAATATTTCATTACATGGTAACATCAACTGCTGCTAATTTTCTCTAAAAAATTTGGGGAAGGATTAATTCACTAACTAACTGTTACTGCAATTATCTGTATGTTCTTAGTTTTTCTGAAATATCATAAATACCTGATTCAAAAGTGCATATGTATTACACACACAGTATATATATATATATATATATATATATATATATATATATATATATATATATATATATATATATATATATATATATATATATATATATATTACCCGCTGCGTGGCTTTTCATAGCGTTTGCATATCTGTGATGCCTTGCCAAAGCTGAACTTTCACTTAACGCGGATTTTTCCACAGCAACGCGGTGAGTGTCCGGCTCGGATGCTATTTTTAGATTTTGACCACGCGCCACCCGCCCGCCCGCCCTCCCGCCTGCCTGCCTGCCTCTCCCTCCTCCTCCCTCCGCTTGGGCAAGCGGCGCGGTAAGGTTGCGCAGTGTGTGTCTTTGTTGCGTTATCACTGACGTCATATGACGTCTCGGAATGTGATTGGCCATGCAGCCCTACCCCCCTCTGCTGCTAGCTGTAATTGGCTTAAAGTATTATGACGTGACTACCCCGGGGAGGGAGGGAGGGAGGAGAGACGACGCTTGACCTAGCCGCGGCAGTTTCATCCCTCAAGGCCACGCCGGGTTAACGCGCATCCATTGTTCCGTAAAATGGCTTCCGCCGGACCACCACCCCAAGAGAGAAACCTTTCCTTACCTGGACCCAGCGGCACTAAACCAAAGAAGACACGACGTTCATTAAGCTACGAGCTGAAGTACCAAATTGTTCAAGATTTGGAGAAAGGAAGACGCCAAGTTGATCTCGCGCGCCAGCATGGCGTCAACGAATCTACGATTCGTACAATAAAGAAGGATGCAGCCAAGATAAAGGAGCACATGAAGATCACAAAGTCTGCAGGTGCTTCATCTATCAGGTATTGCCAGAACAGGGTGCTGGCAAAAGTGGAAACTTTGCTGGTGAGTTATTTGGTGCGTCAGGCGCGACGCAACATGGCGGTGGACACGCGCTCAGTGCAGGAGTGCGCACGTGAGCTATACGCAGCAGTGACACGTAAACTGGGAATTGCAGAGCCCAAACCCTTCAATGCATAGGTTTAAGAGGAGGAACAAGGTCACCAACATCAGCATTGTTGGTGAGGAAGCGAGTGCTGACCGTGCGGCGGCTAGAGATTTTCCTCCGTTTTTACGTGAGATTATGGAGGAAGGACAGTACACTGACGACCAGGTGTTTAACATCGACGAATCTGGTCTTTTCTGGAAAAAGTTACCTTCCAAGACCTTCGTTGTCCAGTCTGCGAGCAAGGTAAGGGGCCGGAAGATGCAGAAGGAACGCATCACCGTCCTGTTTACCACCAATGCCTCCGGTACCTGTAAACCAAAGTTATCGGTGATTCACAAAGCCCGCAAGCCGCACGCCTACAAGAATATGGACATGAACAAGCTTAATGTCCACTGGCTAACTGCACGTAAGGCGTGGATGTCCTCTTCTCTGTCCCTCTTCTGGTTTGACAACTTTTTTGTTCCTGACGTGCAGAAATTCTGCGAGCAACAGAATGTTCCATTCAACATTTTGTTGCTCCTTGACAACGCACCTGGACACTCGCCCCTACTAATGGATCGTCACCCCAACGTAAAAGTGGTCTTCCTTCCTCCCAACACCACGTCATTAATCCAGCCTATGGACCAGGAGTTAATCTGCAACGTTAAAGCTGCATACTCGGCAAAGAAATTCAAGCTCCTGAACGACTCTACCAACACCAAGGATGAGTTGCGTAAGCTGGGTGACACCGACAGCGAGAGTAAAAGCGACGTGGACAAGGAACAAGAGGCGGCGACTCAAGAAGTTCTCGTCAAACAATTTTGGAAGAAGTTTAACGTCAAACAAGCTGTAGACTTCTTGGTGGAGGCATGGGATCTGCTGTCTACTGCTACGATTCGTCACGCATGGAGACATGTGTTGCATGGCATACCAGGTGAGAGGAGGAGTCAATCTGTTACTGGTGAGGTTCAGACTGTTGCAGTAGCAGTGGACCTTGCCAGAGAAGCTGCGCAGACTGTTACAGCTGAAGGCTTCTCCGAGACCACCAACGAAGACATCATGGAGGTGATCAGAGATCCTGAAGTGACTGCCGACGAGATGTTGGAAGAAGAACCCGCCAGTGAAGAGGAGGAAGAAGGTGCGTCATTCTCCGAAGAACCTAGTTTAAGTCATAGTGATATTAAGTGTGTCATAGAGTTAACAGAAAAAATTAAGTCCATTGTTTCCCGCGACACTGACGATGAACGCCATGACGTCTTCCATAACCGACTGGTGCAGGCTATGGAGCCGTACATCACGGTGTATCATGAAAACATCAAAGCCAGCCGTCAGCAAAGCATAACCGAGTTCTTCGCCCGCAACCCACCACAGCCAGCCCAAGGCAGTGATAGTGAAGGTGATTTTGAGGGATTTGTCAGGGAAGCCATGACAACTGTAAGTGACAGTGATATTGATTCACCTAGTAATAGTGATTCACCTAGTAATGGTGATTCACCTGAGGGGCAGTAATCTGCCCTCTGCCTCGGAACCAGCCTCCATCCCCGTATGCCGACCCATCTCTTCTACTACCGTGAGTGTTCCTTAAACCTTTTCGTTTTTTAACCTATTCTTTATTTTTCCTATGTTAACCTTTATCTTTCCTAACCTAACCTCTTCTATATTACTTGTTTTTCATGCCACCATAAAGTTAAGATAGAATTTTTACTACAACATAGTTATTTTTCGTCAAAAAGTGGAGTTTGGGGGTCGGGCTGGGTTCTATTGGAATTAATCCCATATGTTCTGTTGTTCACTTAACGCGGTTTTCACTTAGCGCGGGACCCTCTGGGTTCTATTGTGTGAATTAAGTGAAATTTCTTTTGTATATATATATATATATATATATATATATATATATATATATATATATATATATATATATATATATATATATATATATATATATATATATATATATATATATATATATATATATATATATATATATATATATATATATATATATATATATATATATATATATATATATATATATATATATATATATATTAACTAAATATAATAGTGTCACTGACCTTTGATAACCTCTGAAAAATTGCAGGTAACATGTCTTTGAGTTGTAGTCTCCGACACGCTGGGTTATTTTCTTGCTCCTGAAGGAAATTGCTTAATCTCTGGTCTCTTTTTTGTCGCTGCTTAAGATTATCCAATGCTAAAAACTGTGTTCTGACAAACTCTGCAGCTTGTTGTTGGAAATGATCTCCTTGTTCACCATCAAACTGTGGAAACATAAAAAGAGTGTTAGATACAGGCTTAGGGCTGAATTATGTCTGTAAACAATACTTGTGTGAAGTACTGTACTGCACTGGAGATCTCCTTAATACTGTAATACAACATGAATAAAGTGATAGTAATATTTTGTCTGATAAATATTTTGAGTAGTTACAGTTTTACCAGTGAAGTTAAGCAATGTTGGGTCTGGTTAGTACTTGGATGGATGACTGCCTGGGAGCACCAGATGCTGCTGGTGTAAGGACACTACTAGAAATAAGCATTTTGTGGTTTTGTCAGCTATTCTTGGTCAAATTGGCTACTGTAAGTGTCTCCTTGCAAAAATTCTTTAAGTATGGAGAGCAAAGACTGTCTTTTGTTGTTCGGTATGTGAACTGTAATCTTCATATAAATTAAAAGAAATTAATATTCTAAATTACAGAAATATAATGTAACTCCAACAGTTGTTGTTTCAGACATGAAATGCCACATTTTACAATCTATTGTAAAAACAACAACAAAGAACCCCTCCTATACAGGCATCCCCAATGTTACAGAAACTCGGGCTGCTGGAATTTGCCCATACAGAATTTGAAAATTATGAGCACTAAATTTGGAATAAGGCCCATAAATTCAACCTTACGGAAATGGGATATATTTCCGAAATTTTCAACAGAAAAATAATCAATGCACGGGTTTAAAAATTTTATATTCATTCATAAGTGTGCTTGTATTACTTTGGGGGGGAGGGGGGGCAGAAAAAGTTTCTTCAGGAACGTATCTGTAATTATATAATGGAAGTCAATGGTCAACTTTTCAAGGATGGATCCCTTCAATAACCCGGGGAATTACTGTACAGGTACTGTACAGTACTGTAAAAGTTACAGTTTGTAATTTGTGCCTAAAACTTAAGCTATTTTACCCATATGTTCAGTAAATATTTTAAAATACAGTATTGCTACGTATTAATCATTTCTATATTTTTTCCTACCAATTCTTATTCTTAAATATCTCCCCTTCTACCAGAGTTACTTCACTTTCCACAGGTAACACAGTTCACTTGTGGTGCTCTATGTTTTCTTCTCTCGCAACATATTTCATTGTATGCTTCACTGTGTCACTATACAGTAAGGTCATGCAGGATGAAGATGAGTAAGTGGTTTTTCATGCAGAGGCTGGTAGACATATGAAACAGTCTAGAGCTCTGTGCAAACAAGAACAGTACTGGGCTTCAAAATAACCCTCGACAAGACTATCAAGAACAATGGGGGTATCCTATGCAGGCCACTGGCCTTCTTCCTTTGGTATGGCCACTTCTAGCTGGGGTAGGTCAGTATGTAAATTTCTACACCAGTTCTATTTTCCTAATAAGTTCCTGTGTTCAGTATATTATAATAATGTATCTTGCAGAACTCCAATCATACATATCTACGACTTCACAAATTCATTCAAACATTTTCAAAATATTTGTAATACACTTCACCCAAGACAAACTTAAACTTCCACTGTTATCATTTGCCGAGAATAGTTGAGAAGTAATGCCCTTACCGGTATACGCCTTCCCATGTATTATAGAGCCACACCCTTCTTGCTCCTTCTTTAAAAATGTTTCTTTCCTAACTGAAACTTCTAAATTGCCAATGGAGATGTCTTCTATTCACAAATAAGTACTGTGTATCACCTAAGCACTCATCCAATAATAATTTTTTTCTTTCACTCTTGGATTTCATTAAAGCACTTCACCTGAACACATAATAGTCCTGGTCTTCTTGAACTTTCTTTACTGTAATTTGATGAAAAGTTTTACATAGCTGATGTATTTGTTAAACTTTGCATCTTCAAAATTGCAAAGTTGCCAAAACTTTTTAATGTACAGTATTGTCTAACTAATAAACACATTCCTATGTCGAAAAAAATCAAAGTTTCTGCTGGATTCTTTCTCTCTAGTTGTCTCATACTGTGACAGATGTCTAAAGATACTACTGTACTGTACTGGTAATGAAAAGTATAACAGCAAATGCTGAATAAATAAAAAAGTACAGGTGTAATTTCAAATTTCCAATATGAACAATGCCACAATAAAAAAGTACAGTACCAGTTATTTTAACATGGAGACTATGTCAATAACAAAGAAATCTGCTAGTGAGTGAGTGAGCCTTTGAGTCTGAGCTATAATTAATTGCCTGATACCAGGAAGGTACTTTATCTCTCCACCACATCAATCACGCCACATTCTCATATTTCCACAGCTCATACTTGTTTGTTCTCATCAAAGATACTAATCTTTGGTTAATTAATGTAAGTGGATATTTAACTATGATTTCCAGCTTAAGTTTTTAAAAATCATTGTAAATTCTACTAAGTAGAAGTTATTACATAAATTTGTGGTGATCATGAGGGCAGTTGCGTGTGTCTTCACCACCTCTTCCTGGTCACTATCACAACAGGATGGGAGCGGGTCTGGTGGGAAGGCCATTAATGTCCCATGACGGCACCTTTACTGCCAATCACATGACCACACCGCACCCAACAATGCTCACCCTTTTTTAACATCTTTTCTCAATTTTTTTTAAACATTATTATAATTCCTAATAGACCTTTAATAAAATCTGTAATTGTATTTAATAAAAATATTTAGGCAAATGCTATCTTACAGAAACTTTTTAGAACATACTGTATATGCAGCCAAAATTTTCAGTGTTATAAATATGGAGTAAACTACAACATATTCAAACTGATCTGACTGATAGTTCTACAATGCTGTAAACAGGCACATCTGAGCCATCACTTTTGTTTTCTCTCCCCATTAGAATAGAAACAGACAATGGGTGAAATCGTATTATATAAGAAAGTTCTCAAGTGGTAGATGATGATATTGTATTGTACAGTATTATTGAACTTCAGCAACTTAGGTCTTTAAGTAAATACTGTACACTAGTCATCAATACTGTAATTAAAAATTGGACAATGACTGTACCAAACCAGTTTTGTCTGAGTGTTAAGTCACTGCTCTAGCACAGGTAAAATATTTGATATTTTTCTCTCTCTTACTTATAATTTCCCTGTAGCCAAAGCCACTTAACAGTCAGAGTTTGATGACACATGAAACTTTATCTTCGGGTAATCATAGAAATGAAAATTGCATTCTCATGCCTTCTCACATCAAAGAGGTAGGAGTAATGTTTGAAAACAGTGATGGAGAATTCTACAAGCTTTCACTTACACATTGGAAAAACAGTTGCTAATTCAAAACAATGGGTTGCAGGGTATTGATATGGAGGACGTTTGCCTCAGCATATGTAAAAAATGACGACTTATTCAGTACAGTAGTAGTAAATTAATATAGAATGACACCAAGATCAGAGTATGAAAAATAAACAAGACAGATTGTACAAATTGGAAAAACCTGCAAGACAATAGGAGAGACAGTACTGTATATAGCAAACCTCCATGAAGAATTCTAGTGTAAAAGGATGGGAGAAATATTGGTAGGAGAAAGGTCAACCATTTTCCTTTGTTTGTACAGCTGACTTAATGACACCACCTTATCTATTTATTTTATTTTATATTCTTCTGCTCTTTGTTCACATTTACAAGTACAGTAGATTCATCCAGTGGTTTTTATTAATGAGTGTAGGACAAAATCCCACAAGGAAAAGAACCTAACCTTGAGAAACATGAATATAAAAAATGGGGGGGATTTGATCCTACTTTAACTGAAGGGTGTTTCGTCCTAGGGAGCTTCTGACCGACTCCACTCTACTGTACAAATATGTTTACTTCACAATCCTTAATCTTCATCCCGTTTCTCAACTTTGATCTCATAAAGGAATAAGGGAAACAACAATAGTGGATTAAAACACTGAGATGCATGCCAGGGTTTGTGGAAAATCTCCTACTGCACTGAACCAGAGATGCCTCATAATTTTGCAGATTGTGCCCTTGTTGGTTCCTTGAAAGACTTTACAATATATGCACTGAATATCCAGGAGCATTACCGAAGTACAGGTAGTTCTAATTCTTACCTTGTCAATAATGTGACTAAAATCGAGAGAATACAATACAGCACTGTAGTTGGTAAAGCACACTCACCTGATGCTGCACCTAAGAAAATTTCAGAGTTTGGCTAATTTACCATATACTGTACCTACTGTATACTGTATGTATGTACAATCATTGCCCAATTTACAGACATTTGCTATACAGCTATCCCTTGCTATACAGTATGAACATTCCAGGCACTAAAATTCGCTTGTATGATCTTCCTAAATTGTCACCTCTTTATCATTTAGCGAAAGTTTCCCCGTTAATGCGAATTTTGGTCTAAGTAAATATTCAAATCGTGTGCCCCCCAGGAGTCAGCTGGGGTGGTCACATCCCCCTAGCCTGCTTCTTACTAGGCTGAGGTGTGAGCTATGTTATGGTTATTTTTCAACTAGTAATTTCAGGTACAGAAGATATATACAAAACACTCATCACTTTTTTTTTTTACTCAGTTACCTGTACAGTATATGCACACACAATCCGACATAAAAATTTTGCAAAAGTTAAAAGAAATAAGTACGATAATGTAAAAACATAAAGGGAATAAACATTTTTTTGTGTGCGAGAGCGGGAGGAGGGAGTGGAGTGTCGGAGCCCTGTTGCTAAGGGTTGGCAGAGGCAGCGTCCCAGCTGGGCTGTGTTGCTATGGTGAAGCTTGAGGTCATTCAGCCACAGTCTATGCAAATGATGGTTGTGTTAAACTTTCATTTAGCTGCATATTTTCATCTAGATAGTATTTTATTAATGCGTTTTATGTGTTAGGTAGTAAATTACATTACTGTACTTGTAGTTAGGTAGTTTTCCCATATGTTCTGTTATTCGAGGTACGAAAAGTCACCCAACAATTGGTTTGTCAGGAACCTAACCCATTTGTATAGTGAGGGATTCTTGTACCAGAAATGGTTAAGTAATGACAGAAAGCAAAATTCATTATAATGGAAATTCTGCTAATTTTTTTAAAATATATTTCAGAAGAAAATAAAAATATACATAAATGCATGAGCTGTGTTTTTGATTTCTTACATGCACTTGTGTGTCATGCAAGCATTTCATACTTGTACTCTCACAGTTTGCTGCCACAGCATTTTATAAAAAAAAAAGCCTTGTTATAAAACAACATGCTTTGCCTCGTAGTTGGCGGTGTGCACTCTATTGTTCGCTCTTTATTTTCACATCTTTTTCTCGACTTTTAAGTGCTTTACCCTTGCCTCAAGATGTCTGGAGAGTGACATTGTCACAATTGCAATGTCAGAATGGATGATGTCGCTGAGCTTCTAGAGTCTCATGGAGAGGATCTTGCAAATAAAGATTTAATGATGCTGGAACAAGAGAGAACTGCAACAGGAGAGGAGGAAAGTATATTGGCTCCACCTACTCCACGTCAACTAACAGATTTTTACTGAAAATGATCCTTGCCGAGATAGAAGCCTCAAACTATTTTGAAAAATACATGAATGTTCAGCCACTACATGGAGCTGTATAAGGAGAAGAAAAGGCGAGCAAAACTGACACCATTGTTTGCATTTTTCTCAAAGAAAGATGATGGACCTTGTACTTCTCAGCCTGCCACTCTTCGCAGTGATGTTGGCTATTGAAAAAAATTATGTGGATGAGTCTGCCTCTCCTAGCACTGGGGATGTGACCAATGAGCCTGTCACTCCTTCGTTTTCCTTGTAACAATCATCTTACTCTAATTCCCACTGTTTCAGATAAGTGACATTCATTCTCAGCATTGTTATTACCCGATGAATATGTTGACACTGAAGCTCAATTCACCGAAATATCTATTTTAATTTTATGCGCAGCAACAGCACAAGGCTGGGTGGTGATATTGTCATGGAAACATCATCACTCATAGCTCACTTCCTCCCTCCCCCCAACTTGCAGTGCATTCACCTTTCTCACTCATTCACACACACACACACTTCCTCTCCGACTCTTTCTGATATGGGTATTTTTTGAGTAAAGATTTTGTTGTGAAGGAGCGTATTCTGTGATCTTGACCGTTGACATAAAGACTTGAACTTAGTAATAAGTACAGTACAGTACTTGCTTTAAGGTGACACATAGTCTTGTTAGAACACCTATATTAACACAGGAGTTATGATCTGGATAAAGTTAAACTATGTTCCTAGACACCCAGGCAATACTGTAAATGCATCTGTACACTAGAGTTAGATGTTAGGACAAATGGTCTGATGGATTGTGATGGGTAAATATAACTACCACTACTCTCCCTTTGGTAGGGGTATAAACAACTAAAATTACTAATACAAATGGGAGGGGGAGGAGAGGGGGAGGAATTTCATCTAATGCTGTGAATTCAAACAAGTTAAACCCTTAAATATCATTCTGAAGGCAGGGAACAGACTTAATACAAAATCTTGCTCAATTATGCAAACAAAATGAAGCAAATCTATGAATATCCTACTAAATCACTTAAGAGAACACAACTGTACTTACCATATTTATAAGAAGATCCCCTACTCTTGATACAAGTGGTTCTTCTAGTCTCCTCTTCTTCATGGCCTGGTTGAAGGCAGTGTGGATTTTCAACATTTGGTCCATATTGGGGAAAAGGATATCCAACTGATCTCTAGGTAAAAGTCCTGCTTCTGTCATGGGCACTTGAAACAGGTGTTTTAAGACTTTTAAGACCCGTACATGTGTCCGTTCAGTGTGGAACAATTCTGAAAACAAAGTCACATTCTTATACTGTAGTACTAAAAATTATTAAAGAGTAAAGGATTGTTTTCAAACAATAGAAGTAATTGTGCCACAGTTAATAATATAATAGCCATTTGGGGATCTCACACAGCCACAAACATCAAACTGCTCTTTAATTTTTTTTTCTGTTAGAGATCCTTCTACTAACAACGTACAGTATGTACTGTACAGTAATCTCTCCATTAGCTGGAATCTTTGATCCCCAGTACTGTACTCTCCAACAGACAGAACAAATAGAATTGAGCATTCCTTAAAATTCCAAGGATTGTATCTTGTGCAGTTCCAAATAATTCTGATAAAACCTCTCCCTTCCGGGCATGAAAAAGGAATTTCCAAGAGATTGATTGCATTATGTTTCTGATGCGGGTTGCAGGGATGGGTTGGCTCAATGTACTTGTGAACTGCGATTGGCTACTACTATCATGTGACTGCATGGCTAAAGTATCTCTCAGCCTATCTCCTCAAACTCTTGCATCATGACACTTTTAGTTCTTTGTCTGCTGCCATTGTACTGTACATACAGGACTATATAAACTTGTTCGCTCGCTCACTGCTGTTTGTGCGTAAGATCTCTGTGATGCACTACTGTACATTACTGTACCACCATATAATCAGCCACGAATAATGTTCAAGCAGTGTTAAGACATAAAAAGTGATTACAGTTATGTATAACAATCATTAATTGTGAAAGTACCATATGTACAGTACTGTACATAACAGAGTGGACAGTGTAGGCTTGTGTATAGTGTATATGTTAGGCTCAAAGACTGAAAGCTAACCACAACGCCTTGTGGTTGTTTGGAAAATAACCAGAAAGGGGAATTTTGCTACAAGTTAGGTTAGGTTAGGTTTGTTTGGATGAGTTTGATTAGGTTAGGTTAGGTTGTATCTACTGGGTAAAACCCAAGATGCAAAATTTCATTTTCTGGTTCTTTTGAAAACATCCACAACACGTTCTGGTCGTTTTCAGTCTTTGAGCCTAACATATACAGTGTGTGTATACAATCCCTCCTTCATGGAGGGAGCGGAGAGTGACAGTTAGCAACACCTGTTACAGGGGATGGTGGTACGTACAGGACAAAGGCAGGCCATCCTGTATCATCATATCACCATTTGGCCTGCCTTCAGCACAAGCTCAAAACAACAGCATCAGCTGGTGAGTACAGTATATACAGTACTGTATAGTACTATACATATTAGTATACAGCATTTTGTTCATTTACAGTATACAGGTATCCCCCGATTTACGATGACTATCTATGATACTGCGCTACACTGATGATGCTGTATAAAGACCACCCCCTATTAACGATGTAAACAATTCATATGAACGATGGTCATCGTCCGGCCAACACGCTCGCATCTCTCCCTGCCTGCACTTGTCTTGTCAGATGCAGTCTACCCACATGCTGTCACACAGCCAACCGGCGCACTACAGTACCAAACTTTGTTCCATGGAGATCGCACATGGTCATGATCATATAGCTCAATGATTCAATGAATATCAGTCAATATTGGTGTTGTTACTTATCATCCATATTTTTTCTTTACTTTACAGTGAGAGGACATTACTAATGTTCATATTGTAGTACTGCACTCTGTTTTGATGACTGTGTAGTGATTTTTGTTATGTTTTATTTTGTGACAGTAAAGTGCTTTGCCTCTGTAGTTGTGAACGTGATGTGAGCAGTGCCGGCCACAATAACGTTATCATCATTCGCCCTGTTATTATGACAAGTGCCTTTGCTCTGTTTTTGTGACTGTGAAGTGAACAGTGTAACTTTCAAAATGTCTGGGAAGGCCAAGACATCCTAGACAACCATGTCTCTGGAGGTGAAGTTTGACATTGTAAAGCAGCATGAGACTCCCCAGAGGCTGTGGGGGTCAGAGTGACGTCTCCACTCCACCTACAAGAGTCCACTGAGCCTTGAAGGGAACATATAATGATGACCAGACTTATTCTAATGTTGTGGTGAGTGCTGTAGGTATAATGAACCTGATTTACGATATTTTGACCTGTGATGGGTTTCAGGAACGTAACCCCATCGTAAATAGGGGGACACCTGTACTGTAGAAGGTACTGTAGTTAACTTTTATGTTTGGATTCTGTCACTCTGTTTACAGTATAACCAATCAGCCACTTTTTTCTAACCAATCAACAGTGAAGTAGGTATATGACAATGGTCACACTTGGTCACACTGAGGGTTTAACCACTTTGTTTTTAACCATTCAAATATTTAACACAGTACTGGTACAGTATACAGTCTTGGTCCACATCCTAGTGTTTAGTTTCTGTCAAGGTGAACAAATGTGACACTTTCTTTATTTCCTTGTTAGATTTTTATGTTGCAATGGCAGTATGTAACTGTTAATACAAACATACTGAGAAACTTATACAAGATAATGGTAGTTATGATGGCTAACACTGATAATAGTTCATCACTTGTGTAGGAATTAATGATTAACTCTGCATACAATAAACTCAACAGAGCTTTGGTTACCGTGTGGTAGCCATTTATCGAGAGAAAAAAGGATGGCCAGATAGACAGTACTGTACAATGAATACAACCTCTGGAATATTTTGGGTACTGTACTGTGATAATACAGTACAGTAATTCAAAATAACTAAAGAAAATGTCAATATTATTAAGATAAAAGATTTTAAATACAGTATGGATAACAATACTTGACTTACCAGTCACAAATTCAGAAGGCCATTATTTGCTAAGCCTTATTTTTCAATTATTAACAATATTTCTTTTCTGAAACTGACAAGAATAATTTCAAAAGGACTTGTTATCTATTTGCAAGCTACTTTTGACTGTAATCTAAGGAAAATTTAAACCAATTGGCTGTGGAACTCAAATAGTCCATACTCCATAATTATCGTCTCCTTTTGACTGCTGGGGCGTCAGAAGTGATATGTTTGAAGCCTACACTACGCAGTGTGATCTACCATTTCTCAGATATTTGAGGAGATTTTTTTATACTGTAACTACATTCATTAGATTGTTTTTCCTATATTTTATTAATTTAAACTTTACTTTCAAAGTTTAAAAGTACAGTACAGTACATCAATGTCCATGTCAGTACTTATACAGTATGTACAGCATACATTTTGGTATAAAACAACATTACAGTACAGTACAGTATATAAACAGTACAGTACAGTATATAAACAGTACAGTGTCTCTATATTGTACATGAAAGTACACATCACACTTCCTAAAACTCACTAAAACTAAATCTTTGTGGATTGTACAGCATTGATTACAGTAGTACTACCTGTACTGTATTAATAAGAAAGGTGATTTATTTCATATACTCTGTACAGTACTCATAGTGTACTGTACAATGTTAATACATTATTGTACTCAACATTCAAAACAAAACTCTAAAATGTAAATGCCTTCGCCTTTCCCAGTTTTTTCAATTTAAACAGATATTACGTAATAATCTAAAGGTTTGTTAGGGTAACAAAGTACTAAATTGGTTGTTCATTTTTAAGAGAAAAAACACCAGTGATGAAACAAAAATAGTGAATGGTAAAAGAAAAGAAAAGAATAGATGATTATTGTTGATAATAATACTTACCATTTATTGTGTCTTGCCTCTTGCGGTCCTTAGGCTTGAGCTTCTTAATTTCCTCATCAGAGACTAGTTTTTGCCAGTTTGGAAGATCTACCTCAGCCTCAATGTCAGAGTCATTTTCGAGGACTGGGGCAGGTAAGGGGGCGTCTGTCCGAGGCACATGTTCTAAGGATGTGCTTGGGCTCTCCAGGCTGAAAAGACAGAGGAACTATTAGAATCAAGCACAATGGCACAGTTTTCCAATGGCATTTATACATCCAGCACTGAGCATTGCATTCATCTTGGTCCAGTATTATGGTATGGTACATTAAAATGTATTAAAGGCAACATTAACATTAACATTCAGAAAATAAGGAGGTACAACATCCCCCAACCTTTTAACCTTGATTAGAATGCTGCAGCTGCACCATTATTACCATAATACTAAACCTAGTTCTGCTATTATGCATCACACCTAACCTCGTACTGTACTGGTATTGCCCCATATAGCCTTGCTGTGCCAATTTTGCACTTGACCTAGAACAGCAACTACCACATTGAGGCTACTTTTGTTGCTATCACTGCAACGATAGGGGATGGGTGTAAACGGGGACTGCCTAATATAGGCCAATAGGCCTGCTGGAGTTTCCTCCATTCTTATGTTCCTAACTTAGTTCGACAATTATAGCACTGAACCTAATAGTACTACCTATACTCTGTACTGTACAGTACTGTTATTACCACACCTAGCCTTGCTCTGCTAAGTGTTTATACTTATAATCTTGTACAGTATTGTTTCAATCACATTTGGTCTTGGTCAGCTCCTATATCACCTAGCTTAGTTTTGTTCCTTATGCACCTAACCTTGTATTACTAAGCCTAACAAAGTGTAAAACTTGCCTAAAGTTACCACAATTTAGACAAAAAGCTTAGTGACAATATTCTGAGTCTTATTAGTCCTGGCTCAATGATGAGATAGATTAAAAATGAATACTGTATCGATAAAAGGGTCCATAAACACTAAATGGTGCTAGTGTGCTCTGTAACAAGCAAAGCTCCAATACAGTATGGGGTTCCCAGGTGTGCCGTATATACGGAATTATCCCATATTTCACTGCCTTGTCCAGTTGTCTCGGAAAGATGTGTCGGGATGCATCATTGTCCCATATGTGAGTGGCCCTGATATCTTCACTTGAAAAAACAATAAATCAAGCGTCCCTGTGTATGTGTTCAATGCCTCATAAAAATATAACTATAAAAATTAATGTTTCCGTTCTCTATTTTAAAATTTTCATGCACAGTTCTTATGTCGCTTCACAAAACAATGTGATACAGTATTGTGTTTATCTGTGCTAAGTTGTGGCAGCAGTGGTGAACTTTGTGTGTTGTAAAGTTTGCATCTAAGGAGATACTGGCCATCAACCAAAACCTGAAGTGTATGATTATGGTGGACTGTCTGCTAACAGTGGCTACTTCTGCACCATGCTTGATCCTTTAAATAACAATATTTATTAGTAGAGGGGCAATGAGGCTGATTTTGTTGACATTGCATAAAAATTACTGTAAGCAATACTCTATATACTGTATATGGGAATGTATGTGGCAGGGAGTTTCTTGAAACACAGCTGAGCATTTGTACTGTACTTTATTTGAGAAACGTTGTGCTCCCACCTATAAGACCCGAGTCGGACTGCCGTGTCTAGGGACGCAGAAGCCAGCAATTGTCACACATTTGTATTTTAGAGGTCAGACAGTCTGACCTTTGTCCCTGCTGTGACCAGGGGGTTACTGAGTAGTATATTGGGATGTTTGTTATACACATTTATTGGTGCTATAACATTCTGACCAAGAATGTAAGAGAAGTTACACTCGGTCACTATGGAGGCAACGTTCATCCACAAACTCCTCAACTGAAGAAGCTTGATAGCTACTTGGTATGGCCAGAGGATGGAATGGAGCTAGTGAGGTCTTTCCCAACATTATGTGACTTACCTCTCAAGCTTAGCACCCCACTACCTGCATCTGCTGCTTGTGAGCTTCTGTTTAGTGATGTTGGGCTTCTTTTTTATTTTCTTAATTAATTTAATACACCCCAGGGGGCAACAAGCTTAGTCACAGGACCATGTGGTCAGACACTAATACATTGGTACTCATGTCTCACAGAACACATTATGGCTTGTGATATGGAGACAATATTGATATTATTTAAGGACAATGGGAGTTAGCACCCACCAAAGTGTGGGTACCATACAAGAATTAAATCTTAACTAGTGTGAATAAGTAGGTGGTGACATATAGTGGTTAGTGACTCTCCCTGTGGTAGGAGGTCCCTGACAGTGAGACAGTCAAGGCAATACAGTAGAGTTGAAGGGTGTTAGTGTTGGGACAGTTACAGAGTTAACAGGAAGAGAAGTGTGGATCATCCCCGCCTCAGATATTGACAGATAGGTCTGCATCATAACCTAATGTGAGTAGAGACAACATTATATCTGTGGACCATAAATCCACGCTGATGATACTTGTGTGGATGAGGAAGAAACTGATCATAGTGTTGGATGGATACACTCTCAGCCCGCTCACCATCCATGCGATGGATTGCAGGGAGAAGAGCGGCTGAACGTATTCTCTTTTGATAGGCTATGATAGGCTTATATTTAGGCCTAAAATATCCTGATTGTAGAGCCATAATTTCGAGAATCAGCTATTGATTAACCTCAATGGAAAGATTTGCAAATAAACATGTGTATAAAGCTATGCCTCTTTACCTTAAGTTCACTATTTTTGTTTTGTTTACTGTAGATTTATTTTAATATTTGAGACAATTAATAATTTAGTTGTTACTTTTTACTTTCAGTACTTGAGTAATTTATGAATGAGATACGTTTATTCACTTCTACTTGAGTACATTGTACTTTGGATACGTTTACTTCTACTTGCATAACATTTGCCAATGTAGCAATACTTTTACTTAAGTAACAAATTCTGGTACTTTTTACAATGCTGGACTCCCCAGAGACTGTGTAGGGGTCAGAGTGATGCCTCCACTCCACCTACAAGAGACCCCTTAGCCTTGAAGGGGACATGTGATGATGACCAGACTTATTCCTCACGATGCAGTGAGTGCTGTTTTATTGTTTTGTACTGATAGTAGTTTTTTAGGAATTGTTTTGTCAGTGATACAGTGTGTTTGGGGACTGGCTGGGAACTTATTCCATGTTATAATGCTCTTATCTACGATAATTCACCTAGCAATGGGTTTTCAGGAGCGTAACCCCATCGTATCACGAGGTTTACCAGTACAGTATACAGTATATAAAATATTGTTATTGAAAAATCTGGTGTTTTTGCAGAATATTATATAAGATGTAATAAGTGATTGATTGATTTATGAATTTTAGGCTCAAAGCCAAGCACTGGAGCCAATAGGCTTAATGTGATTTTTTTACTTTTTGGCTGCTTGATGACGCCACTGTCGTGGGAGGATAAAAAAATTAGCATGAGTGAGCTATCCTCCGAGAGTTTCAGATCCCTTGTTCCAACCAACCCTGTGTAAATGTATAATTGCTTTTGTTTACTGAATACATGTGTACTAAAAAAAAAAAAAATAACTCGATAAACTGCACTGTACCAACCTAACGTACTCCAACAACCACAATTCATTCAGTAACCAAGACAGTTTCCAGAACCCTAATATCTTTTTTGAATAAATCAGCTATATAAAAGTACCTTTTCTTCAAGGTACTGTATAGTACTTTAAATTATTCTTGAGTACTACTGTATGGCTGACAATTACTGTATATTGGTACTTACTCCTTTACTTATTATTATTATTATTGGGGGGGGGGTTTCTTATTACTTTACTCTATGCACCTCAGCAGTGAGTGTACAGTATTATTTTCCCAGCAAGTTAAAGCAAATCATCTCTCCCTGCCCTATACTGTACTATACAGTACAGTATTCAAAGTCTGATTCATTACTTTTGTGTGAAACCGAAGTGCGACAGCTTCACAGTGAACAAACTTACAAGCATGTAATAGTTATACTGTAAGTGACTTTTCTTCTACCATTATCCATCTCCATGCCAGTGTCAGTTACAGATGCTGTAATTGTCTATTATTCAGCTAACAGGCCAGCCTAATAAGAACAACAATGTTAATCTCATTTTTCATTGGTATATGTTTTCTAATGTAAAATTTTGCCAACATAACAAAGAATAGGAATGAGTTAAGTCCATCTGAAGCAATAATGGTATTAGTATATGGTTTTATTGTGTACAGTGCAGTACAGCACATTATTAATCTAAAGGGGAAAAAACAGGAGCCAGCAAAGCCTCAACTCTTAACACTGGTAGTCCCTTGAAGGACTTATTGATATAGGATCTAAGCTTCACAGTATACTCTACTGTAACTGTACATCTTTTTCTGAGGCCGTATAACATTGCCAGGACTCTTACAATAAGTAATTGTATTACTAGGCAGGCAAATATTTTCAATGAAGTTACCTGAACAATAAAGTACTACTGTACTTGCTAAATCTTAATAAATGTCAATGACTAAGCAAGGTTACAGACTAAGTGAGTTTCCCTACAACTTTATCCATATTTATCTCTGCTAAATTATGAAGAAAAAACTTGCAATACAGAAGCTGCTTTGGGTCTTAATATGGATTATCTTAGAAAATTATGGGTATGAATCTGTTTTCTAAAAGCAAACCCGGTTGGTGGAGGAGAGGGGGGGTCAAAGTTAAATAGTTGTTACGGGAATAAATATTAAATATTTGACTCAAAATAAGAAGGTTAAAAACACTGAACATATGAAATCTGGGTAGAGAACAAGCATGTGAAATCCAGCACCCCCACTCCACACAGCAGCACACAACATGATGGTCAGAGTCTTGGCACAGATCTGTACAGTATTTCATAAACACCTACATAATAGTCTTGGAACCCACAGCAATATACAGTACAGTACACTATTGCTCTGCTAGTATTCGTAAAAATCCAACTCAACAGTGGGATTAGTGTGACGTATATGTACTGTATATAATCTGGACTCAAGTACAGTACAGTATAAGTATACACTCTATGTGTATTTCCCAGTTTAGTGTTGAAGTTTCTCTTAATGCTAATCTTAGTGTAGTATACAGTACTTGGCCACACAATACTTACCTAGGTGAAAGACTTGAGTTTGACGAACTACCAGAATTGGCCGTGATGAGGCCAGACTCTGCGTCCACATCGCTGTAAATAAAAATTATACATTAGTGTTGTTTTATTACTTAAAATTTACATAACTTAAAATATACGGCAACAATCTTAATTAACCTGTCGTAATGTGCATGATTAAAGCAGAAGTTATGTGCATATACATATACAGGGGCAGATCCATGGAGCATTTTTAGATAGTAAAAAATAATTACAATTGACCTCAGAATACCTTCTAATATCAAGTACAGTACTTGCTCTACTCGCCAAGTTCCCTCACCCACAGCTTCTTGGAACCCCTCTTGATATTCCTGGATCTACCCCTGATACAGTATGTGTATATACAAATGGGTGTATGCATAAACATTAACTTGAACTAAAAAACATTTGCAACCATATTTGCACGCATGCAAGCACACACACACACACACACACACACACACACACACACACACACACACACACACACACACACACACACACGTACGTACCATCACCAGAGCAGCTACTTTTAAGTTCTATTTATAACCTTCTTAAATTGGACGCTAGTTTTCATCAATTAGTTTATGAGTCGGTATAAGTGCATACAGTATAAGTACAAACAGTACAAGTACAAACAGTATACGTACATACAGTACAAGTACAAACAGTATAAGTACATACAGTACAAGTACAAACAGTATAATTACAAACAGTACAAGTACAAACAGTATAAGTACATACAGTACAAGTACAAACAGTATAAGTACATACAGTACAAGTACAAACAGTATAAGTACAAACAGTATATGTACAGTACATACAGTATAAGTACAAACAGTACAAGTACAAACAGTACAAGTACAAACAGTATAAGTACAAACAGTATAAGTACAAACAGTATATGTACAGTACATACAGTATAAGTACAAACAGTACAAGTACAAACAGTATAAGTACAAACAGTATAAGTACAAGCAGTATAAGTACAAACAGTATATGTACAGTACATACAGTATAAGTACAAACAGTATAAGTACAAACAGTATAAGTACATACAGTATTAGTACATACAGTATAAGTACAAACAGTATATGTACAGTACATACAGTATAATTACAAACAGTACAAGTACAAACAGTATAAGTACAAACAGTATAAGTACAAACAGTATAAGTACAAACAGTATATGTACAGTACATACAGTATAAGTACAAACAGTACAAGTACAAACAGTATAAGTACATACAGTATAAGTACAAACAGTATAAGTACAAACAGTATAAGTACATACAGTATAAGTACATACAGTATAATTACATACAGTATAAGTACAAACAGTATAAGTACATACAGTATTAGTACACACTTTCCATTCTCAACGAACACAACACAACACAACACAACAACAACAACACACTGAATGAGAACTATTAGCTGATGGCTCACACGTAAACAAGTTGTGTCTAACAGTGACGTCGGTGGGGTGAGGACTGACATAGCCGCGATGATTCATAATCCAGGCTTGTGGAGGCTACATGTAGACTGTACAGTAGTTTGGGCTCTACGAGTCCCAAGTAGGGGCATAGTGGGTATGTGTCATAAGCAGAGGCATAGTGGGTATGTGTCATAAGCAGAGGCATAGTGGTATGTGTCATAAGCAGAGGCATAGTGGTATGTGTCATAAGCAGGGGCATAGTGGGTATGTGTCATAAGCAGGGGCATAGTGGTATGTGTCATAAGCAGGGGCATAGTGGGTATGTGTCATAAGCAGAGGCATAGTGGTATGTGTCATAAGCAAGGGCATAGTGGGTATGTGTCATAAGCAGGGGCATAGTGGTATGTGTCATAAGTAGGGGCATAGTGGGTATGTGTCATAAGCAGAGGCATAGGGTGGAAGGTACAACAAGCAAGGGCATAGTGGTGTGTCATAAGCAGGGGGCATAGTGGTGGTGGTGTGTCATACAGGCAAGTATGGTGGTGGTGTGTGTATGTCATACAGGGCATAGTGGGTATGTGCCTGGCAAGCAGGGGCATAGGGGTATGTGTCATAAGCAGGAAGAAATGTGTCATACAGGGGCATAGGGTATAAAAGGGGTCATACAGGGGAATAGTGGGAATGTGTCATAAGCAGGGGCATAGGGGTATGTGTCATAAGCAGGGGCATAGTGGTATGTGTTACAAGCAGGCATAGTGGTGGTGGTGTGTGTGTGTGTCATAAGCAGGGGCATAGTGGTATGTCATAAGCAGGGCATAGTGGCATGTGTCATAAGCAGGCATAGTGGCGTCATAAGCAGGCATAGTGGTATGTGTCATAAGCAGGCATAGTGGTATGTGTCATAAGCAGGGGCATAGTGGTATGTGTTATAAGCAGGGGCATAGTGGTATGTGTCATAAGCAGGCATAGTGGTATGTGTTACAAGCAGGGGCATAGTGGTGTGTCATAAGCAGGGGCATAGTGGTATGTCATAAGCAGGGCATAGTGGTATGTGTCATAAGCAGGCATAGTGGTATGTGTCATACAGGGCATAGTGGTATGTGTCATAAGCAGGGCATAGTGGTATGTGTCATACAGGGCATAGTGGTATGTGTCACAAGCAGGCATAGTGGTATGTGTCATAAGCAGGGGCATAGTGGTGTGTCATAATCAGGGTATGTGGTGGTGGCATGTGTCATAAGTAGTCATGTCATGTGCTACAAGCAAAGACCCCACAACAGAGAGAGAGAGAGAGAGAGAGAGAGAGAGAGAGAGAGAGAGTCGTAAAAAGAGGAAGATTCACAGGGGAACCATAAACCGCACACAGAGCTTTCCTCCTCTGCTCCCTCCTCCCTCCCCCCCTGCCCTCCCCTACACACACACACACGGTCATTCATAACAAAGTAGGTTGTCCCAGGCTGCAACACACTGGGTTCACGGTGGTGGGACTAAGTTTGGTCTCAAGTGGTCATGACGATGGCAGGATGTGGTGGGTGACAGGGTGAAAGTGGTAGCGTTGTTTTGGGAGTGTGGTAGTGGGAGGTGCTATGTGGTGGTGATGGCGAGAGGGTTGGCGTGAGGTTTAATTGGAGTGGTGGTGAGAGGGATAATGTGTGTGGGGAAAGGTGTTGTAGTGGTGGTGGTGATAGGAGGAAGAGTATGGCAGGAGGTGAGGGGGGCTACGGTTGATAGGAGTAGAGGCGGGAGGCAATCGGGTTTCAGGGTGCAGATGGCAGGACATGGTGTAAATGGCAAGTTGACAGAAGCCGAGGGTGGTGGAGGTGGCGAAGCAGCGGCAGAGAGCCAATGTCAACCCCACCACCAAGCCTGCCAGCACTGCACCAGTCTGCCACCACAACTACCAGCACTGCACCAGTCTGCCACCACTGCACCAGCCTGCCACCACAACTACCAACAGTACCAAGCCTGCCACCACTGCACCAGCTTGCCACCACAACTAATACCATTACCACCACTAGGCCTGCTACCACAACTACCACCACCAGGCCTGTCACCACAACTACCACCACCAGGCCTGTCACCACAATTTCAGACGTCAGGAATCTCTGGGAAACAACCATAAGAAATGGAAAAGTCTTACGATATGCCTTTCGGTTTATCACTGTCAACACACACACACACACACAACATACCGCACAATACAACCAATACGTACAATGGCTTCCTAATATGACACAGTTAGACATGAGGTTCAACAAAATAAATAAACTACCGCATTTTACCCCTCCAAGCGTTGTTACCGATCCCTTTAAAAACGACACCAACTGATTTCCTCGAATATCGCGCCGTTCCCTTTATGACAGCAGCCGAGAGCTTCTTGGGGGCACAGGACTCGCCTTTAGTTATCTTATGGGGGAAATTTTGAACTATTGTATCTAGCAAATTAACCTGATTGTTGCGAGGGACTTCAGTAAAATACAAGAGCCTTCAATAAAATACGCAAAGTTTCATTCAAAATTCAAGAATATTGAATAATGTTAAATTCTTCCTGACTTGGATTATAAAAGATATCTGGTTGTGTTCTAATAATACTGTATACACTTGTTAAAACTGGACGGTTCACTTCCCTTAACGACAAATCATAAAGTACGTTTTAAACGGCCTTCACATCCTGGCATTCTTCAACCACAACACCACCACAACGCCAGTACGCTGTAGTCAAGGAATAAGCGAATGAACTCCCGACAAAATAAAATACATGGACAAAATATGTCAACTGACTATATAGGTATACAGAGTACTCCCTTGAACAAAGCCAACATAAACTTTAACCACAATCACTAGTACAACATTTAGTGGGCAATTCCCCATCCAGACCGTGTACATCAACAAAGAGTGAACGAGCTGATAACAAATGGATTCATGTCAAGAACTTGTGTATGGAGGAGCAAGTAACATGATCAGTGGACCACAGGATGTCGCCACTGCTAGACTAAGGTTAGGATATAAGTACCTCTGGCAGCATGCCCCTTATGCAGATGTGAACAACACAAAATGTAAAGTGTGTGGCCTGACATATGGCCACACACTCCAACACTACTTCCTAGACAGGTCCAAATAAACTTGTGCGCGAGATGACATACCCCTTCATCTCTAAAATAGTTGATATTACGAGAAAATGATAATTATGATAAGGTAGCATCCATATTTTGTACCTAATATATAAGTCGACTCCTTAACATCCAGTACCAAGATATCATGACCATTGGGGCCTGACAAAGTCCTACTGTATTCTCTGCTCAGTTTCTATTCTGTCCTAACGCTCACAGGATAGGTATGGGGGAGCACAATTGACAAACCACGACAAAACTTAATTCAATTTTTCCTGTTCTCACCACACACACTCCCCTCCTCCTCCTCCCGCCCTCACCACACACACACACACACATTCTTCCTCCTCCTACTCTTCTTCTTGTCCCCAGCACACCTCTGCCCCACACACATACTGCTTCATTCTGTACCTTACACTGACTTTACTCAACGCGGTACTGTACACCGCAGCTTTCCAACCCCGTCTCGTCTGCTCTAACTTTCCCAATGAAATCTTGACGTCTTTTCA